TAATACCGCAGTTCAAAATATATGAACTTCATATATTCATTGTATCTGATTTATCATCACGGGTTTATTACGAATCAACTTAACGGCCTGCTCCCAGTTGGCTTGTTAGCTCAATTGGTAGAGCGCTGCACTAGTATCGCAGAGGTCAGTGGTTCGAATCCCGTACAGGCCTGATTTTTTTCAGGTCTGATTTTCGCTATTGCATAAATAGCGCTCTCTACTGCGAGGATCGTGCATCATACATATCTACAACCGCAGTTCAAAGTATATATGAACTTCATATATTCAATGTACCAGAAAAATGTTTGCCCTGCACCGAAGCTTAACTAAAAGAGGCCCGAAATCACATGTTCGGATGTTTGAGTATCCACCAGTATAAGACCCAGATGTAACCCATCCGGGATAATGTTAAACGCGGCGCAGGCTGCATAAATTAGTCTATTCCCTTTGGTAATAAATGTCATATTTGGCGTGTTACTTCTGCACGATAGTATGTTATTTGGCCAAAAAGCTCGATGGTTTTAGCATACCAGATACTACTTATCTTCTGGTCCTGGGTACGAGTTTAAGCCTTTTTTTCTAAGACACGAATCACACGATGCTAATTTGGTATTTTTTAAAGTATTTCTACGATAAAAAAGTTTGAAAAGTTAGGTGTTGACCCTGTCTGGATGACTACGCTATACAGAAGTTCAAGACATTTTTCGCTTTAAAGACATCAATCTAGTGTAAGCTTATTTATTAATTTTTTTGTCTCACTGAAGTTTCTGTAGAAATGAGTAGTAGAGCTATTTCCTTTTGTACTGAGAAAGCATTCCTATTGTGCGATTTTAGAAACAATGGCATTTAGATACTGAGATATATGCAAAATGGCAATATTATGACTCATACTGCAGCATGGGTATGACGCTTAGGGACCATCGTAGAACCGAAAACATAAGAGTCGCAGGCCTTATTTTCTACCCACTAGATAAATAGAGGATATTACATGGCCGCGTGGGTATACGAATTTTATCTTCGAGTGCTGTTCGCTGCGCTCACTCGTGAGAGATACTTTCAGCACTCGACGATAAAATTCGTATCCCCAAGCGGCCATCTAATATCCTCTATTTATCTAGTGGGTAGAAAATAAGGCCTGCGACTCTTACGTTTTCGGTTCTACGATGGACCCTAAGTCTCATACCCATGCCGCAGTATGAGTCATAATATTGCCATTTTGCATATCTAAGTATCTGAATGCCATTGTTTCTAAAATCGCACAATAGGAATGCTTTCTCAGTACAAAAGGAAATAGCTCTACTACGCATTTCTACAGAAACTTCAGTGAGACAAAGAAATTAAGAAATATGCTTACACCAGATTGATGTCTTTAAAGTGAAAAATGTATTGAACTTCTGTATAGCGTAATCATGCAGACAGGGTCAACTCCTAACTTTTCGAACTATTTTATCATAAAAATACCAAATTAGCATCGTGTCCTAGAAAAAAAGGCTTAAACTCGTATCTAGGACCAGAAGATAAGTAGTATCTGGTATGCTAAAACCACCGGGCTTTTTGGCCAAATAACATACTATCGTGCAGAAGTAACGTGCCAAATATAGTTTTAAAAAGAATTCTGCTCATTTTACTAATACTTCTAATAATTTCAGTGTAAAAGTATTTCGAGTGGGTATCACAAACAAATATAGGCTTTGGAAAGCAATAATATGCGCAATATAGCTTTCCTCCAAACAGGCGGGTGTCGCGGCAAAACAGTTCCTTAAAGTTAACTAAAAAATTTACACAACTAAGGGCTTCCGAGCGAGATCAATCTGGTAAATGCGATTCTTTCTTGGAAGGTACGGTTACAGTACAAAGATATCAAAACGCGTCATCTGATGTCAGAACGCTTTCCTGCCTTTCGGAATTTAGCTTGAAATAAACCGATCACAAACGCTTAATTAAGTCAAGCATACGTGTAAGTGCTGAACAAGTTAACGAAAAATACGAGAGCATACTTTATCGGTAAAGCGACTGAAAAAATATAATAGCGGTTCACCGTTTAAGAATATAAAAAGAACAACGTAATCGTTCAATGCAAAGATGATTAGTCCCCGAAACTTGTTGCGGCAAATTGTTCAAACCGTTAGCCGATCTTACACCGGGGACGTGCATCAAACTACACCGTTAAATCCTCGACGTTTGCATACAATTGCTTGTCGTACATACTCATGTTGATTAGCCTCTGCAAAGAAAAAAATTAATAATCAGCATCAAATAAAGACAGGGTTCCTCATTTGTTATAAATAGTTATCCTCATGAGCGGTAAGCTTTCACAAAAATTCAAGAAGAATGGTGTGATACCGCCAGAAGAATAACTGGTAGAAAGACGCAATGTACACTTGTTAGCTCGGTGATTTCCCCTGACGTCATCAACACATACTTCCAAACCATCAACAGTGATGGCGCATATGAGGCTCCTACGCGTCTGCAAATACCAGAAGGAACCCATCTCCCAACTGCGAATAAATGTGATATAAGAACTTACTGACACATCAAAAACGAATCGCTTTGGGGCCTGATGAGTTTCGTTACTGGCTTTGGCGCGATTACTCTCCCCATCTGCACCAGTGATCACCAAAATTTTCAATTGCTCAATTAAGCATCAAAATGTTCCATTCTTGTGGAAACAAGCAAAGGTCTCGCCCATTCCCAAGGAACCTCCTCTGACTGAATGCGATCAACTTAGTCCTATCTCATTAACCAACATCACAGTGAGAATCTGTGAGCGTCTTGTCTGCAAACAAGAATTATCTCCTATCCTTAAGTCAGCGATTGGACCTGACCAATTCGCTAGTAAAAAGGAACACACAACTATGGCCATCATTTTTGGCTTGAGCAACTTGACACAGGTGCGGATTTTGTCAGAGCCTTTTCATCTCATTTTAGGAAGGCTTTTGACTCAGTCTTTCATTGCCTTCTGTGCAAACAAGATGATGTCGTATGACATTAAAAACTGGATAATTAGCATTCTGTGTGATCGCTGACAGAGCGTAGGGGGTTGATGGAGTGGTTACCAGTTCCCTCAACAACAATAGAGGGGTTCCCTAGGGGACTGTGCTTGGACCCTTATTGTTCTCTTTCATGGTTAAATGACATCAAACCTGTCATCCCCCAAACTCTACTGATCAAATATGATATCACAATTGGCCTCAATCGCACTGATTCATCACATCAGGAAGTAGCAAACATCAAAGTTTGGACTGATGATAATCAGATGAAGCTGAACATGAAAAACACCTTTGAGATGGTTGTTAGGGGTAAAACCAGGATGCCCCTCCCAAAGTCCATGCATGAAATAGCTAGGAGCTAACTAAAGCTGTTTGGAGTTACAGTAAGTGAAGATCCAGGTAATTGGGACAATCAATTCGAAAATATATGCTTAGCAAAGCGAGTTCTAGATTGTACATCCTTAGAGTTTGTAAATACTACGGCTACTCACTACAAGAGCTTACACTGCAATTTGACAGCCTTAGAATGTCACTTTTCACCTTTGCGATTGAGGTGTGGGCTTGTGCCCACTATGGTAAATATCTCTCCCAAATTGATAGGTTTTGTAAGCGGCTCCAATTTATGGATACACCAGCAAATATACACCATAACTGATTTAATTAAAATCAAAGATAGGCCAGTATGGGAGAAAAAAACTACTCATAGTAATCATCCCCTTCATGTGCTGCTTCCACCCCAAAGAACAAGGAGCCGTAGGAAAAGAGGACACCCTTGTATCCTGCCACGTGTCAGGACTGAACGTCATAAACGCTGTTTTGTGAACAGATGCCTTTTCAATTTTATCTTTATTTATTATTATTGTTGTAAATAGTTTGTAATTAATTTTTTTAATAGCAGTTAGTTATATGAAATTGTAAGTTCAGACGTATGAGTCTGGGCATGTTTATTTTGGTATTTATAATTATTCATGAATAAACAATTTCACTACTATATGCCGTCGTTGTTTGCTACTCTTTGTTGCGTCTTAATGCGGTTTTGCAATCATCTTATGATCTAATAATTTCAATATATGAAAATCATATGTGTACTGCGGTTTTAAGAAATGTATGAAAACGATCCTCGAAGTAATCAATCAATCAATACTTTATTTACCCACGTAGCGTCAAAAAGCTCATAGAGCTCGTTCAAAATACGTACGTGCCTCTAAGATCAAGAAACCTAATACATACTGTCAAGACCTAATTTATTAGAAATTGAAATAACTAACAATTAACATTAAAATTTAAGTTTGTACAATGAAATTCAAATTCACTTAAATACTGGTATAAAATGGCGAAGCAATAGCTTAAATAATTTAAAATTAAGATTACAAATTAAGTTTGTACCATGAAATTCAGAGTCACTTAAATACAAGTATAAAATGGAGAAGCAGCTAAAGTTTCCATGTTCTCAATAGCTTCTTAAAAAGGTTGATATTATTGGCCAATTTCACACTTGTAGGTAATCCATTCCCCAGCTGCGCACACATACAAGTGAAAGATTTTTTCATAAAATTTAAATTAAATTTAGGTGGGTACAAATTAACGCCGGTTCCTCTCAGATTGTACATAGTTTCCCTAAAACTAAAAAAATCTCTGATATATTTTGGATCGTCGTTATGTAAACATTTATATTACAGAATAAGAGATTGTTGTTTCATCCTCTGGTCTAACGTTTCCATATTCAAGATTCGCAGCAATTCATCATAAAGGGTAGATTTGCGATAACCCAGCAGTGATCTAAGAATATAATAGTTGGCATCTTCTAGCCGATTCGCTTGCACTTTCCCCAATCCAAGAAAGAGGGGGCAACAGTATTCAAAATGGGGGAAAATGAAAGTTTTATAGAGACTTATCATAACATTGCCAGGGACAAAACGCCTTATTCTCCTAAGTGCGCCACTTGTAGCGTATACCTTTTGTAGCTGTTTAGTAATGTGATCCTTGAAAGATAGCATGCTATCAAGTTCAACGCCAAGTATTTTGATAGATGGCAGTGTCTCAATGACAGAGCTGTGTATGACCAGTTCGTAATTGTACTTACAGGGACCAATGGGTACTGCTTGCATCTTTGTGTTGTTCAACACCAGACGATTCTCTTGAAACCACGATGATAACCGCTAAGACCATTATTCACTACAAATTCGAGAGCCATGGGCGAGACGTCTGAGGCATACATGGTTGTAATAAGTAATAAACACTACTTATGTAGTAGTACCTGTGACGCTTGCGACTAACGAGATCGAAGTCGAAGGGTGTCGCTAAAGCGTGTTAATGCTACGGGACTATCTTACAGGTCGTGTGCTTCAAGTACCAATAACCACGGAAAACCAAGGTTGACGGTTAACGGTGATTTAATGATGATGAACGATTAGCGAACCACGATAGACAATCACGATCACGATCGTAAACTGAAATAACAATGCAATTTACTTAAAACGTTGCGTAACTCATGAACAAAACGCTTAGAGCAATTAACCTGCCTCCGTCGATAACGCGATCAAAATTAACAACAATCAACAGGAATACTCGAAAATCATAATAAGCTACATCAAAATAACTCGAGATTTAAATCGATTGTAAGATTAACAAAATGGGCGTTCCCAGCTTAGCGTCTCATTCTTTGATTCGCCCCCTTTAGATTGAAAACAATAAATTGTACTATTGTACGACTCTGTACGGTAGCGTGCTTCTACCCAAAACAAGAAAACTAATCAAAGGAGAAAACTATCAAAATTACTCACATATCGGTTCCGCTTGTGCCAAAGGTTAAGAACCAAAAACGGCAAGTCGAACAGATAGAATGGACAAGGCGAAATACAATTATACACTGGCTAAAGGAACGCTAAACGAGGCTTTTATACGCGCGTGGGGACGCTAAAATATCTGATTACGAACCAATCGAGAATAGACAACAACGTAACCACATCCGTTACTAAAGTAATTGGTAACAAACAAACCAAATTTCACTTAGACTGAATGAATCGTTTGAGTATCCTTAACAGTACCAACTGAGCTAACAAGCCAGCTGGGAGCCTTATGGGTTTAGTACGAACCAACTTAACGATTAGCTTCCAGTTGGCTTGTTAGTTCAGTTGGTATTACTACATAAGTAGTGTTTGTTACTACGAGGATCGCTTTCATACGTTTAAAACCGCAGCATCGAAGAGGTCATGAGTTCAAATCCCATTCGGACCTCACTTTTTTTTTTTTTCAGGTCTTATTTTCACAATACACAAGTAGTGTTCATTACGCAAGGATCGCTTTCATACATATCTTATGAACTTTAAAATAATAACCATAGGGCATCGTTTATAGTTGGAACATTTTAGTTTGCTCCTTTGCTCGTGGAGCGCTAACTCTGGTGACATAAAAAAAAAGGTGGAAGCCAAACTTGTAAAAATTAAAGAGAAGGGAATATATTACTAAGCTATCCAGGTAAATGCTGTTAAGGTTAAAAAACCGTCACTAACTGAGCCTAAGTCAGTCACTCTTGCATAAAAAAGAACCTCCCATGTTGATCAAAATTCTCACCTTATGTTGGGTTTCCATGTTCTTGAGCTGATTTTTCAATTCAGTGAATGTTGGTCTTGCTTCCGAGTCATTTTTCCAGCATTTCATCATTATCTGATACCTGGTATATTTCAAATGATCTGTTTAAAATTTAAAGAACTTTTTCTTGTATGATCAGAGAGAGTGAGTTGAAAAGGAAAACTTACAATTTTTCATCTACGTGTTGTGGTTTAGGCATCCTGTATCCCTCCTGAAGTAAGTTTGCAATTTTTCTTCCATCCATTTTTGGGTAAGTTGAACCACCTGGAAGAACCACAAAACCATCGAAATAAAATTGTAGCGCTGTAACACTACCCTGTGTAACAAAGATTGTATAGGGAAGCTCATTGCGCTTGTCCCACTCAACAGATAACATTGTTCAATTAAATGTAGTAAGTGGCAAAAGACATTGTTTAATTAAAGATAGTAGAGAGCAAAAAAAATCTATAGAGTCTCATAAACTTCCATTCGATAATACCTATGGTAAAAATCTCGTAAAGCACAACTCCAAAGCTCCAACTGCAGAAAGACAAATCAAACGAATATAAATTAAGTGACTGAAGACATTAACAGTATATGCGACAACTAAGATAAATTTTTTCACAAAGATGGGTAATTATCAGTTATACTTACACGTCACTTTTGGTGGTATATTTTCCGTACAACAAGGCCTCATAAGCAGTCCACTTCACGGGAAGACGGCCCTAAATATTTCAAATATCAATTTGTGAATAGCTCAAAAAGTAAAGAAAGCAACCAGTCAAAGACAGTTTCATTTCAAGTTATACTTTGTTACGAAAAATAATGTTGCATGACATGCATGACACTCTGGAAGGTTCGCGAGAGGTCATGGTTTGTTTAATTTAGTACTTTAAACTTTAATGATAAATACTCCCAAAAAAGGTTTTTCAGTACCTCTTTACAAATATGAATGCTAACTATATCCGACAAGGCAGAAAATGGAGATACGTGATTGGTGGGAACATGGCAACGAGAAAAACACGAATAAATTAGTGGAATGAAAAGCGTTCGTTGATACCTGTGTGATTTAGACTGCCGGTTTGCTCATTTCAACTTTGTTGATATATTCAAATTATATCTGACAAGCTATTGTTTTATTCTAAATTCTAACTGTCACTCGATCATTCATTCATGGCAAGTTTCAGGACTTTCTGAAAGGCCTTTACAGATGTAACGTTTCTCAGGCCTTCGTATAACATGTTCCACAGAGATACTGCTCTATAGGCAAAGGACCTTTGGCCGGTAGCTGATCTGAATAACGGAATGTCAATCTTCTCATTATTACGAGTTATGCGATTACGTACAGAAGATCGTTTTTTAAACTTAGCACATAGATATTCAGGAGCTAAATTGGTGACACACTTATAAGCTATAACAGCGTCTCTGAATTTGAGTATTTTGTCAACTGGAAGCCAGTTGAGTTCATCCAGTAATGGCGTTACATGGTCAAATTTCCGAGCGCCGCAGATACTTTTGTAGGCGAAATTCCGGATGAGTTGCAGCTTTTGTATGTTCTGAGATGAGGTATTGGACCACACGGACGAACAGTAGAACATTTTGCCAAAGACAAGAGATGGAATAATGAAAACTAAAGTCTCTCTATCGAAACAGTATTTCACGCGGTTCATCTGAACCAGTTTAGTCAAGCAAGAAGAGACTAGGTGGGAGATATGAGTGTCATAGGTCAGATGTGAATCTATGTATACTCCTAGGTCTCTTGCCGATTCGACAGCCGTGAGAGTCCTTCCAATAAATGAAACAGCTTAGTGCCGATCAACATGAACTTCGTTTTCCCGGGGTTCTTAACAAATCATTTGCGCAACACCAGTTGGCAACATTACGCAAATCATCTTCGAGCTTGAACTTAGCTTCAATGACATCGGCTACGGGAAAAGATAGCAAAACTTTGAAGTCATCGACTATGGCTCGAGCTGGCAGAATTGAGTAGCGTTTGGCAGATCATTTAAAGAAATACAGAAGAGGAGCGCTAATTACATGCATACATGCCAAGTACATGACGTAATCGATTCTAAAATTGGTATATTTTGTAATGTTGCTATAATTAGACCCTCTTTAGAAGGTTCTAGAAATTTATCGCGGAAATATATAGGATAGGTTAGGTGAAGTTTTAACTAAGTTTTCACAAGCGAAGAGAGTTAGTCGTGATCAGTCGTGATCAGTCAAGCGTGACGAGGCAGTATTTGTTAAACTTGGCGGAGGCCGTGAGTATTTACAAGTTTGTCGAAGTTGGCGGAGGCCGTATGTATTTACAAGTTCATTGAAGTTGGCGGAGGCCGTGTGTATGTTCAAGATGAGCGAAGTTGGCGGAGGCCGTGTAAGTTTACTGAGTTACATGCTACTGTAAAGTTTATCAACTGGAAACTACGTTCATTTTGGAATAAATTTGGAAAGAGTACCATATAACCCCAACATTAATTATGCATTCCACTTCTTTGTCTTTCACAACAAAACTTTATAAACAAAGTCTGCTAGTCTGAATGCATAATTAATGATTGGTTATATGGTACTCTTGCCATATATCTTCTTGTTGCTGTTCCGACAACCCTGCGTTCTGTTTAGACTACAAATCACCTACCACTCAAACATCGAACTCGTAACATACTTGTATAAGTTTTCGCTAGGGTCCCATCCAAAGATTTCGTGACCGAAACCTGGAATATATCAGCTATATGACAACAATAATTATAAAAGATCATTAGATGGAACGATATGTTAATGAGTAGTATCGCCCCCATCTCCCCTCTTTCTTGATTACCTTAGTCTTTCGTTCATAAATATTTTCCTCCTGCACATCTCTGGCCATTCCAAAGTCTGTCACTTTGCACGCTTCCTTTTGTCCAACCAACACATTACGCGCTGCGAGGTCTCGGTGGATGATCTAAGAAAGAATTCATGCTTCAACAAAAATTAGCGAATGCAGAAGAAAAGAACTGAAATGGTTCAGAAAGGAAGAAAAACTCTAGCAAATACAACTTATGGTGTGTGTAGTTCACAGAATGCTCATATTAAGATTTTTATAGTAGTTTTTATCAACTCTGTAATATGGCATTTTTTGCGACCAACAAGAAATTTTGGAAATGTCAAGTCTTAATTCTTTTTATTCCTTGACACTAAAATGGATATTTAATATACACTCAGTTTAGGCTGAATATCTTAAAAGATCCTTTCCATTCCAGTCTCTGCCTTTGCCTACACAAAAGAAACCCAGGTATTTCCATTTGATGGGGTGTTCTGGGAGCGATGCAAAAATATCGCCATTTGCACATTTGAATAAAACTAAAATGATGGCATTAAAATTGGGAGGATTCCCTTAGAGCAAATTGAAGCTTTTACAAAACGGTAAGAATACGTTTGCATTATCCGGCCGTGATCTTGTATAGACAACATTCTATGAAGGACAGAGCTTAACTTCGCGATACGCCTTACAAAAAATGATTCAGAATTAAGTTTTTTTCCTTTAGGTTTTTAATTAACTTACAGATTTTGAGGACAAATAACTCATTCCATCTGCGATTTGCCAGGCAAACTTCATTAGCTGCTGTGACGTCAGATTTGTTTGTGGTTTGATATTTGGGTCTTTGTAGTATGTGTCCTTTAATCCGCGGCTCTTTCTCAGGTAACCCAGCAGATCCCCAAAAGCCACATATTCAATCAAAACCAACAGTGGCTCTGAAGAGATCAAACAAACAATACGATAAACTACTCTATAAAAAAAACTCAATAACTAAAGAAATAAATTAGTAGTCCACTCATTGTTAATACTTTTCAACGAATCTTAAAAAACAAGATGCAGTTTTAAAAAGAAAAGCTGGAAGACCAAATATTTCCCTACAAAACGCGTTTTGCTTATACAACAGAATGGTCAGTTCAATAGCAAATATTCGGTCTTAGAAAGTCATTAAATCGAGGAGCGTCTCTATTTACTTAAAGAAAATAACGGGAGAGTATTACAAAGTAAATCAAAAGGAAATTGTGTACAGAAAAACTAGACCCGCATAACCAAAGCGTACCAGACTCCGTAACACAACCCAGAAGCTTAATGACGAAAGGATGTGGTTTCAGCTGCGTCATTGTTTCAAGTTCTTTCATCAAATCTCTCTTGTCTAATTCAGCAGCGTTAGCTAGAGCGTTAAAAAAAGGAGAAAAATTTGGTTAATGGGAATAATATGCGAAAAATTGAAATGACAACATTAGTTATGAAATGGCAAATAGCTAAAACATTACTGTAACATGGTAACATTTCCTGAATGATTGTAGGCCAAGACTGTCATTAAATTAAAAGTACAAGAGCTCACGTTTAAGCATCTTAATAGCCACTGTGGTCGTTTCAGGCCTCCCTCGAAGTCCTACTGCTGTTCCTTTGGCAACCTGACCAAAAGAACCTTTACCAATGATCTTTTCTATGGTCACGTGATCTCTTGGAACTTCCCAGGAGCGTGTTAATGGATGAAGAGGCGTGTAATCAACACCTGGAGCGGCACTTGGTGCTTTTCTGTTATCTCTGCTAGCCTCCCTGAGATCCATGTAATCTGCAGAAGGTTGTGTAGGTTTTCTTGAATCGGGCTGACTTGGTTCGATATCTTCTAATCGTAATTCATTCTATTAAACCAACATACGCGTTAAGGTTTTCACAAATAAATCTCTGATCAATTTCAATAAAAAGGCAGACCCAGCCATTAAAAAAATGGTTTACCCATTTTCATCAAACTAACGTTTAGTTTCTTCTTTTACAAAAGATAATAAACAGTTTATATTAATCTTTTGTCTGTTATTGTTACAAAGAACAACCAAGGGTCTGTGTTTACATGGTAGCCGGAGGATCCCAGTAGAGGTAACCTGCCCATTATTTTTCGAGTCACAACAAGAAACTCCCAATTCCTTCAATGAAAAACATAAATTTGTTTTTCTCGTTTCTGGTTTACTTCAAGTTTTTGGAACAAAGCGACGTCAGGGCACCAAGGACGGCTTTTTTCGGACCAGCTCATGTCAACACGTCCGGCCTTACACACGTCAGCTTCTATTATGTTTTGCTATAGGATTGCGCGAGCGGGGCCGAACTGGTCATACGATAAATCTTTTATTTTTTCTTGATCATGTTTACACGATAAGTACGGGATGACACGCTCAGGCGGGCTGCCCGGTCTGCCGGGCAGGGTAACCTTCTCAGCTGAGGTAACAATTTGCCGTGTAAACGTCTCCAGGTGGGTAAGCCGTGGTTGTGTTTATGTTACAAAAGATCAATTGAGCAAAGTTTTAGTGAAACACGTGAGTTTAAAAACCTTGTACATTTCCGTACCATACAAAACGAAAATGTTAAAACAACAACTTTTACGTCCTCCAAGCAATAAAACATCGACAGCAATCATGTCACGCCTTTGTCCTGAACTCAAACTGCATTCACTTGTTATGCCGCAGTAAAGACGTCACATCGTCAGAAACGGTTAACCCATCGAGCTATAGGCGAAAATCTTAGAGGAAAATGAATTCCGTTTTTTCCCCTACCTCTCCCCACACGTTGCCGTAGTGACCTCTTAAACTCCCTAATTACAAGCGCTACGTACGACAACCTCGAGAAATTTCACCCCGGAATCTCGGAATACTAGTATAAGGTTCGCGGGTTCGTCGTACCGTCAATAGCTGTGTCTAATGTAATGAGTTTGGCGCCAAAAATAGACGAACTTCGTATTTTTTTGAACACCCACAAGTTTGATCTTTGTTGTATAACGGAGACATGGCTGAAAGATTCTATTGATGACAGCGTAGTTGACATTAGTGGCTACAACATTATACGCAAAGATAGGACCCACAGGCTACATGGGGGTGTGGCTCTATATGTAGAAGATTCCATCAAATTCTCAATTCTACGGGACTATGAGTTCCCTGACCCCGAGGGCCCTGAGGTTTTGTGGGCCAAGATCACGCCCAACCGATTGCCTCGGGGTTATAGCTGCCTTATCATTGGTACAGTATACCATCCTCCACCACCTGCCAAAGATGAGCCCCTCCTTGATTACATGATGGATTCTCTCTCTAGGATAGAGAGTGATATCCCTGGCGCAGGTATAATTCTCGCTGGCGACTGGAACAGGGCAAATGTTTCACCAGTTATTAAGCAGTTCCGCCTCACGCAAGTCGTCCATTTTCCAACAAGAGGGAATCGTACACTCGACAAAGTGTTAACTAATCTTACAGAACACTACGAGAAACCTTCTCCATTCCCGCCATTCGGACTATCCGATCATTGTACTGTTGGTTTGTTTCCAAAAATTAGATCGAAGGCCAATATTCCTGCATACAGAACGGTTACTACACGTGCTGTTAACGCTGAGTCCAAACAGGCTTTTGGTCGTTATATGACGGGGGTCGACTGGTCATTAATCGACACTATAGATAGCGTCCAAGAACAGTATGCTCACTTCAGTCACCTAATTCACATAGGGTTAGATTCTATCCTTCCCAAAAAGCGAGTTAAGTTCCACCGAAACGACGCACCATGGATTTCACCCAAACTCAAGGCACTTATAGCACACCGTCAAAGAGCATATTACCAAGACAACAAACCATTGTTCCACTACTACCGGAACAAAGTAAACAGGGAACGGAAGCTCTGCAAACGCTCTTATTACAACACTAAAGTCAGCGTTTTGACCGAAAACAATCCTAAAATGTGGTGGTCCGAATGTAGGCGGTTATGTGGAATGAACAAAACATCTACAAGTGTCGCAAATCAGCTCCTAGCAAGTAAACCAGCTACCTCAATCAACCTTAAGATCTTGGCTAATGAAATCAATACAGCTCTGCTGGAACCTCAAGCTTCGTTTGACCCACTTTTAGATAATATCGAAACTGTGAGCACTGAGGGATATTTTATCCGGACCAGTGGCCTTTTTAGGATTCAGAGAATCTATCAGTTTCTTTACGTAGCCCGCTTCAACTTGGTGGAAGGAAAATTGCAGTTGATTACATCTATGACTAATTTCATTGACACTAAGGTGATTAACAAGGGCATGTTGGGATAGGATAGGAATATTATAAGCAGCAACACCATCTACAAAATGTTTGTTGAAGATATTAGCTATTTCCACGTTGTCTGTAATCAAGCGACCTTCCTCCAAGAGTTGTATTTGTTGTTGTTGAGTACTTTTGGAAGATAACAAAGGCTTGAATTTTTTCCAAAATTCACCAGGGTGGGTACATTCAGCAGAAGCCTGGATAAAATAAGACTTCATATAATTACGTTTTAAGGTAGTAACAAGGTTTCTCTGCTTCTTATATTGATTCCAGTTGCCATCAGTTGTATTTCTCTTAAATTTCATGAAAGGTATGTTACGCCTGGACATTGCAGAGGAGATTTCGGGAGTAATCCAGGGCAGTTGATCGCCAATGATGTATTTCTTTTTGAAAGGCAAGTGCTGATCAACAACGGTAATAAACAGACAATGCCAGTGCTCATAAATATCATCAATGTCATCATATATGTAGGCTGAATCCCAGGGGATCTTGCCAAGATCCGCTACATAACAATCTTTATCGAATCCCTTCATACTCCGGTATTCAATGACTTTTGGTGGAGGTCGAGCAATTTTCTGCTTACGAATAGTGTAGATCAAGTCATGGTCACTGAGGCCTAGTTTCATTGTTCCACTTAAAGCAAAACGTTCCGGGTTACTAAAAAGGATGAGATCAATTAGTCACATAGAGCAGTTAGTTGTGTGAGTAGGTTCAGTGATTGTATTAGTTATACAAAAACGGTTACAAAACTCAGACAGGTGAGGATCTGGTTCAGAATTTCCAGCAGTAAGCACGTTTAAATTCAAATCACCAATGATGAGCAGCTCATTTCTGATGTTGTACAAAGTTTCAGCTGTAGAATATAATGATGGAAGAAAATCACTTGGCTTGTTTATAGTTGGAGACCTGTAGCATACTAGGACAATGAATCTTGAGTTGTTATGGCCCTTTACATCGATACATATAGACTCCATATCTGATGGTTCCAGTTTTCATCTCCTATATGCAGACACACTGTTCTTGATGTACACCAACAGGCCACCACCTCCCTTTTTCCGATCCCGCCTCAGCATCCTATAATGTGGGTGTTGCAGGAGAGAGTTATTATATGTAGAGTCTAGCTTGGTTTCCGAGATCGCAAG